ACACTTTTCCTTCAGAGAACACCAAGTGACAAGTAGCATCTGGTTCGTCATATTTCCCAATCCTGATTCTGTATACGGTATCGAGACTCACCTCATGTTGCCCAACCCCTAACTCTATCTCTTTTATTTTTTATTATTATTGGTCTCTCGAGACTTACTGGGCTCAGCCATGACCTCTTCCACTAAGGCCTCTTAGTCCTGCAGGCTCTGTTCATAGTCTAGTTCACATTTTGCCAAGGGCAGCATGTCTCTCATTAGACTAAACTATCTGAAAGAGCCAGACCATGCTCCCTGCATCTAGGTACTCCTTGTACTTAAATATGGTTGTTAACTAGTACAGCCAGGCACCCAGTAAGGGCCTCTTAATTGTGCATAAGAGTGAGTTATGATTTCTAAATTCAGCTCTCAGTTTTTTGTGTTTCTATTCCTAAGAATACCACTTGTTAGAGAAAAAAAAAAAAAGGTTTAATAAGCCTATACTTACACGTTCAAGAATATCTACCTAAAGGTTCACCTTAAAGTAGATGGTTAATAAGAGGTCAAACTTTTCACCTTGAAGACACCTACACTGAAGTTCCTAGGCTAGCCTATGAAATTTAGTTATCTTGTAAACTTCTTAAATAGAGTACTAATGTGCTATTGTCGGGCAGTCAGTACAAAATGGATACTGTAATAAATATTTACTGACTCTTGAATGTATTTTTGCTTGCTTGTTTTCTTTTTTTTCAAGACAGGTCTCACTATGGAGCCTTGGCTGCCTTTGAACTCTCAATCCTTCTTCCTCCTTAGCCCAAGTGCCAAGACCACCATGCTCGCAGAATGTACCACATTTATAATTAGTACAATGCAAACAGACAAAGGAACCTATTTTTATCATGGAACCAAATAATTTATTTTATTTATTTTTTGTTAGTCGTGGGGCTTGAACTCTGGGCCTGTCTAGAGCTGTCCCTCAGCTCTTCAGCTCAAGGCTAGCACTCTACCACTTGAGCCACAGCGCCACTTCCGGCTTTTTTTATGTGGTGCTGAGAAATCGAACCCAGGGCCTCATGCATGTGAGGCAAGCACTCTACCACTGAGCCACCTTCCCAGCCCCAGAACAAAATAATTTAATACTTCTTTTGGTTATGAGATTGAGAAATAACTAAATGAAAGCAAGTATAAATATAGATAATGTTTGGATACATTCTCAAAAGTGGGGGCTAGGAATGTGGCTTAGTGGTAGAATGTTTGGCTAGCATGCATGAAACCTTGGGTTCGATTCCTCAGTAACACATAAAAAGAAAAAGAAAAGTCCAGAAGTGGTGCTATGGCTCAAGTAGTACAGTGCTAGCCTTGTGCAAAAGAAACTCAGGGACAGTGCCCAGGCCCTGAGTTCAACTCCCAGGACTAGCAAAAAAAAAAAAAAAAAAAAAGGTATATCAAAAGAAATATAAAAATTAAACAACGTTATAGTCTTTTAAAGACCACCAAGTAAGGGGCTGGGAAGGTGGCTCAGTGGTAGAGTGCTTGCCTTGCATGCCTGAGGCCCTGGGTTTGATTCCTCAGCACCACATAAGCAAAAAGAAAAAAGCCGGAAGTGGCGGTGTGGCTCAAGTGGTAGAGCACTAGCCTTGAGCTGAAGAGCTGAGGGACAGCACCCAGGCCCAGAGTTTAGGCCCCACAACCAGACCCCCCCCCAAAAAAAAGACCACCAAGTAAGTGGAATATGACTAAAGTTCCCATGTTGAAAGCTACGTATTCACATACATATAGAACTTAAAAGATATAAATTACTTAATTAACAAGTATACATATGATCCAGCCATGTGATTACATTACAATTTTTCTGGCTGATGCTTATAATTTGTAACATGAAAATGTTTTATATAGTCGAGTGTTGGTGGCTCACACTTGTAATCCTAGCTACTCAGGAGGCTGAGAGCTGATGATCATAGTTCAAAACCAGCCCAGACAGGAAAGTCCATGAGACTCATCTCCAATTAACCACCAGAAGTGGTGCTGTGGCTCAAGTGATAGAGCGCTCTCCTTGAGCTGAAGAGGTGAGGGATAGTGCCCAGGCCCAGAGTTCAAGACCCAGAACCAACAACAACAACAAAAAAGTTTTATATAAAACATACTCAGACACTCACTGGGAAGTGACCCAGATACTCACCGAAAAAGATTTGTAACAAAAAAGATTTGTTACAAAAATATATTTTTTTCAAAGAAATCTGCAAAATCAACCTACAAAAATCCTATCTAGGGCTGGGAAGGTGGCACAGTGGTAGAGCGCTTGCCTTGCAAGCATGAAGCCCTGGGTTCGATTCCTCAGCACCACATAAGCAGAAAAAGCTGGAAGTGGCACTGTGACTCAAGTGGTAGAGTGCTAGCCTTGAGCTGAAGAGTTCAGGGACAGCGCCCAGGCCCAGAGTTCAGGCTCCATGACCGACAAAAAAAAAAAATCTTATCTACATTTGACCTGCCATTCTGAGACTTCTTTGATTTACTGTTAACCCTTCTTGAAAGCTTATTCTTGCCTTATATGGACTTGCAGTTTCAGATCTTATTCTACAAAACGCTATGGGTATAAGTTTTGCTATGGGCAGCTCTTTAAAAAAAAAAAAAAAGTTAAGTTGTACAATTTCTTAGTAGGCCAGCTATGTACGTATATGTTCTGCTGTGGCTTCCTTCCTCATTTCCCCTTTCCAGTCTCCTCCTAACCACATAATTATCTATCAGTCTTTTTCTACTGAGCCAAGCCAGGTAATATCAACGTTAGATATTAATATTGAATTTTCTAAGACATTTGTATAAGTTATTGTAACAATGTAATAGCACATCACATAAGCTTCTAAGGATGAAAGAATTTTGATGGTACATGGGTTTGAACTCTGACCTCACACTTTCTAGGCTTGTGCTCAAGCCATTCCCTTCCTCCCCACCCCCCTACACATGTATTTCACTTTATTTTTTCAGGTAGCATTTTATGGTTTTTGCTTAGAGCCAGCTTCAGACTGCTATCCTCCTAATCTACATTTTCCCATGTAGCTGAAAACAGAGATATGAACCACCACAGCTGGCTTATTGATTGAGATAGGATCTTGCTAACTTTTGTTGCTGGCCTCAAACCACATTTTTTCTAATCTCTATCTCCCAAGAAACTAGGATCATAAGGCATGAGCTATCATTCCCAGTCTCACAATGAAAACTTGAGACACTAAAATATGCATTTTGTCTGAGCAAATCTATCACGTGAAAGAAATTAAATGTACTTTTTTTTTTATATAACCACTTGAAATCAGTAGTGCTCAATTCATTAAATAGTGTCACTATCCTACACTGTCAACTTCTGATTACTCTTGGTACTAAAAAGAGAAGCTGGAAAGTTTGTTTTCTGGTTGTCTTGGTAATTTAATCATTAGCATGTACACATACACGTTCAAAGTTTGTCATTTTGTATCCCAAGTGTCCAGCTTGGCACAGAACAGGCAGAACTCACTCCATAAATATTTTTCCTATGTTCATTTTTTATTACTGTTAAGCGGTTATACAAAGAAGTTACAATTCCATAAGTCAGGTTATGAGTACAATGCCTCATGGCCAATGTCACCCCTTCCTTCATTCTCGACCATTTTTCTCCTCTCCTTTTTCCCCTCAAGTTACTATCTCATTTTTCACATAGTGTACATTGAATATAATGACTACACATGCTCACCCTTCCTCTTTCCACTTATGTGCGCCCCCCCCTCCTTCCAAATCATGTCTGTGCTTCCTGGCATTCATTTTGATAAACAGTCCATTAGTTGTTTAGAGGAGTTATGCCTTTGGGTTCCATCCCTAAGTATACCATCCTTTAGTCAGTTTGTGTGTAAATGCGCTGAGCTCTGTATATGTTTTTGTGCATATTTGTATTGTAGATTTAGCTTCACATATGAGAGAAACGTGGCCTTTGTCTCTATGAGCCTGGCTTAGATCACTTAGCATGATTTGTTCTAGGTCTATCCATTTCCTGCAAATGACATATTCTTTCTCAATGAAAAAAAGAATTTTTTTTGCCAGTCTCTGAGGTTGTTTTGCTCAAGACTAGCACTATACTACTTGAGGCACTATTTCTTGTTTTTTTCTGTTTCTGTGGTACAGAGGAACTGAACCCAGGGCTTTGTGCATGCTAGGCACTAAGCCACATTCCCAGCCCTTAATAAATATTTTTAAATCAGTATTACCAACTGAATCTTTTACTAGCAATTTAACAATGAAGAAATTAAAGGCACCAAGTAAAAGAGGTCATAATAATCTATTTTTCAGAGTCTACAAATGTATCAAGCACGACTAAACACGTTCTAATTTTAGTCCTGTCAATAGAATATCTGAGGGGATTGTTTTACAGCCTAAAACCAGGAAACGGGTTATTAGGAATGAGCCCCGGGTCGGAGTGTGCAGCCAAGCTTGAACTCACATTTGATCCCAGATCCCTGACCTCTAACTGAAGAAGACGGTGATGTTTCTTTGCAAGTACTTACTCAGGTTTTCCCTGCAGCCCTATTGACTGGTACAGGCTCTTACCTACAATTGTACCCATCACCCAGTTCCGCCCGCCTCCCCGCACCCCGCCCCGCGCTGCCACTTCCGTTCGGGTAAAGCACTGTCTCCCCAACTTCTGAGGGTCAGACAGCACCTTAGAAAGAGGAAGGGGAAGGGGGAGGGGAGGGGAGGCCTGGCGCTGGGCCAGGAGCTCTTCCCTCCCTCCAACTTTGTCCAGGCCGCTTTAGTCACACTTCACAGGCCCACAAACCCCCGCCTCACTGTCAGGCCGCGGAGACGCCAGGCCCGCCCAGGCGCCCCCTCCACCCCACCCCGGCCCCCGCCCCGGGCCCCCTCCGCCTAACCCCAGGCCCCGAGACGCCGCCCCGAGTGGTTTCCATGACAACCGAGTCCCGCCCCCTCGCCCTCCCCCACCTCACCCCGCCTCCATCCCAGCGTCGGGACTGGTCAGCTCGGTCAGCCGGGTCAGCTCTCACCTCTCAGCGCATGGTGCATGCCGCCAATGCCGCTATACAGCTCCAGGACCCGCAGGGGCTCCATCCCCGGGCCGCCGCCGTCGCCGCCGAAGCCTGGGCGCTAGGCCTCTGCGGCTCGGTCCCTCGTTCCCCCTTCCCCACTTCCGCGCAGCTCCCTTGGCCTGTGGTTCCGCGGCTGTTCGGTTCCCCCCGGGTCCTGCGGTAGCGCTGGCTCTGGACCCCGCAGGGCGCCTTGGGGCCTGGGGCCTGGCAGGGGTCAGCAGCGGGACAAAGGACAGAACATAATGAGTACTCCCGAGTGAACGGCTGCGCCCTTGTTTGGAGTTTTCGGAAGCCTTGGGTGGGAGAAGAACAGGAAACTCAGTAGAGGGGGGAAATGGTCTTTTCACTTCAAAGGGAATTACTGATCAGAATTCAGAAGTTAAAAAAAAAAATCTTTTTCTTTTAGGCGAGGAGCTTTGTGGATCCTTTGAAAGTGTGAACTAGTCAAGCATTCCTTCCACTAATCTTAAGATCATACCATAGGCTCAGTGGTGTGAGGGAGAGAAATCCCTCCCATCAGCTTCTTCTGAGAGCAAGTCCCAGAACTTACAAATAATCAGAGTAGGGCCCTGACTGGGTGGTCATTGTTGTATGTGTGCTGTGGTCGATATTAGGGTTAATCACCTTTAACACGTATTATGTGCTATTAATAGCACTTAGGGGCTCCTAGATTTGGTGCCCAGTGGCCAAATTGTTAGAAGGGCCATTTAAAACTAAAATAAGAAATGTTTGCACTGTGAAGACTGTCCTTGTAGCATTTGTTCGTTGCAGCCAAGTGAAAAAGAATTTTCCTTGGGGCTGGGAAGGTAGCTCAGTGGTAGAGCGCTTGCCTTGCATGCATGAGGCCCTGGGTTCGATTCCTCAGCACCACATAAGAAAAAAGAAAAATGCCGGAAGTGGCGCTGTGGCTCAAGTGGTAGAGCGCTAGCCTTGAGCTGAAGAGCTGAGGGACAGTGCCCAGGCCCCGAGTTCAGGCCCCACAACCAGCCAAAAAAAAAAAGAAAAAAGAAAAAAAGAATTTTCCAACACAGGAAAATGGGGAGAGGCAAAGACTTATTAGGAAGGCATTAATGAACAGTATAGGCAGGTAGGCAAGGGAGCTTATCGTATCTGTGTGGCTGTTACTGCTCTATGGGGCTTGGACAAGGCTCTATGGTGTTCGGGGGAAGTTGGATGACAGGCTGTTTTCTTTTAGTGTGTGTGGAACCTGTTGACTGATTGTCTGTTTCTTGGACCTTAGTTCAAACTTCCTAATGGTGGACCATCCTGAGAGTCTTCACATCTGTATTTCATCTGGCCCATATCTCAACCATGATTCATTTTGCCCTTCACTTGGCCAGTTTCACCCACTTGGTTCACTGCTCCTTTCCATTCCATCCCATACCCTCCACAGAGACATTGACAGAATAATAAAAAAAAATCCTGATTTTAATGTGATGATCAGTTCATCTTCTTGTAACTCCTTCAAACTGGGAAGGGTCATAGAGATGTCCCTGCCTATGTATGCGTTGTTTTGGCAGACAGTTGTGGCCTTTGATATTTCTCTCTCTGATGTGTCTCTAAATAGAGCCACCTCCATCCTTCTATTTCTCAATACTACCACCGGTTAATTCTTGTTAAGAGAAATTTGCAGGTTCCGCCTATAATCAAAATTACTGGTCTATCAGAAACTTGGATGCCATGCTGTTAACAAGTGTAAAGTACAGTATCTGAATTATAGAACTGACAATATATTCCATGTGGTCTGGAAATTAACTTTTTAAATAGCATATATGCCTCAGGCGTTCAATGTTTTGCTTTAATTGGTCACTTATTTCAGATGAGAAGAGGTTTCATGGTAGAAAAATACCAGAGAACTGGGTTTCAGCCTTGGCATTGTCAGTAACTGGTTGTGTGACTGAGGTAAGCTGGGTTTCCTCATCTGTGAAATAAAGAGGAAGAAAAGAGAGCAATATAGCTGAGGGCTTTGTAGCTCCACAATCACAGGGATGAATTCATGCTAGCAAAACTATGCTCTGACTTGGCTCCCTGCCAGTTTTCTGTTTAAATCAAAATACACATAAACAATTAGAAATATACTCTTAAATCAATCCAATTTAGGGAAGGTATGTACACACGAATAAATGCATAACTCATGGAAGAAGTTTCTAATATTTATTATACAATATCAGTAACATAAATAATATCGATACATAAAATATACAAGAGCTATATAGTCCTGGCAATTTACATACAGTCAGCAAACCAATATATTAAATAACTCTAGAGTTTATTCACTGTTAGTGTTATAAATCAAAATAAACATAACTATCTTATCCTGTGAGGGAAAGGTATTAGATACACTTATGGCAGCAGAGTGGATGAAATACAGCCTCCCAAGACAAAGGGATAAATTAAACTGCACAGAGGCTGATTACAAATTTTTCACTCTGATGCTTGAGAGTCTTCCTGATGTGGCCACAAATATACTTCTCTCTCCTAACTTTTGTCCTCCCCTTTTTATCTGGGGTAGGGGTAGGGAATGCCCATCCTCATCCTGAGAGAGAGAGAGAGAAAGAGAGAGAGAGAGAGAGAGAGAGCTGTCCCTGTGCTTTTTTGCTCAAGGGTAGTACTCTACCACTTGAGTCATAGCTCCACTTCTGACTTTGTTAGTAGTTAATTGGAGATAAGAGTCTCATGCCCCGGCTGTCTTTGAACCTCAATTCTCAGATCTCAGCCTCCTGAGTAGCTAGCATTTCAGGTGTGAGCCACTGATACCCAGCTTGTTTCTCAAACCCAGCTTTCTTGAACTTTGCCGTAAACTGACCTGCTCAGTCTTCCCCAAATGCACTGCTACTCTACCTGTCTGCTTACTCTTCAAGTGGAGCCTTACTGCTAGACCCTTGCTTCATCTCAAGTCCTCGGTTTCCCTCATTACTGAGACACAGATACCCCATTCCTAAACCTAAATCCCTTCTATTCCTTCTAGCTCAATTTTAACCTCATGTGAACCACATCTCTCCTATGCACCATTTGACATTTCCTGTCTAAAACTTATGACATTGCAATCATTTTAGAATGGAAACTTGCTGGGTGCTAATGGCTTCTAGCTACTCAGGATTCAGAGACCTGGTAGGATAACCTTTAGAAGCCAGCCTGGGGAAATATGTCAAGACTCTGTAACTAACCAACAAAAGAGCAGGGCTGTAGGAGAGCCCTGAGTTCAAGCCCTGATACTGGCAAGAGAAAGAAAGAAGGAAAGAAAGGAAGGATGGAGAGAAGGAAGGGAAGGAAGGAAGGAAGGAAGGAAGGAAGGAAGGAAGGAAGGAAGGAAGGAAGGAAGGAAGGAAGGAAGGAAGGGAGGGAAGGGAGGAAGGGAGGGAGGGAGGGAGGGAGGGAGGGAAGGAGGAAGGAAGGGAGGGAGAGAAGGAAAGGGAGAAAAAAGAAAGGAAATTTTCTTTTTAATCGTAATTTATAAGTATTTCCAAGAGGTAAGCTCCTTTAGAGAAATGTACATATACTCTTTTCCAGACCTTCAAATTTATACCAGTCATTATTATAAATTGTGTGATTTGGAGGGAGAATAGGGTGGGGTGGACAGTCATGCTACAATAAGCAGTAGCTGAGGAGGAAGGCAAGGTGAGCAGATAGAGAAAGAAAATATTTATTGTTTACCTTTCTCTCCAAATGGAATCTTAAATATTTCTAAAGGAAAAAATATAGCTCTCTGGTCACATAATTTCCCATAAGTTCGCCTCAATGACATTGAGTATTACTTACATTCTAATTAGAGAAACCTAAAACAATTTGTAGGGTTTTTTTTTTTGTACTAATGAGCATTGCTAAGCACCAGTGGCTCTCACTTATAATCCTAGCTACTTAGGAGGCTGAGATCTGAGATCTGAAGGCAGCTCAGGCAGGAAAGTTCATGGGACTCTTATCTCCAATTAACTATCAAAAGTCAGAAGTCTAAAGAGTAACAGAAATAATTAACGTACATGAAATTACAAGAGGTATATTAGACTAATAATTGCAGACTCTCATTGACAGAAGTATTCATTGTCTAACTTAGAATCTAACACCATTTCCTCTTTCCTCTTCTGCTTGAGAATGTCTTATAAAAATAAAGTCTTTTAAATGCTTAAAGTATGTTTGGAAATTATCATTGAGTTTGCATGGATTTTATTTACCAGCACAATGTAATTTGGAGTCTTATTACAGGCTCACCCACAAAGAGAGAATACCCTGCTCTGCCAGTTTCTGTAATGAAAAAAATCTGTGTCCTGGTTTTAGACAGGAAGAGAATGGTCTTTATGAATTGCATAGAAAATGAGAATGTCATGATATGGAATAAATTTAAAACAAAATATACTTGGGAGATGAAATTATATTCAGAAGAAATTGGAGTTGGAGAAGTCCCCAGAGCTCATCTGCTACTCAGGGACTCTCGCATATTTAAAATTGCCTTCCACTGCCAGGTTGTATGGTTCATGTCTGTAATCTAAGCTATTCAGGAGGCTGAGATGTGAGGACTGAAGTTCAAAACCAGCCCTAAAAGCAAAATGAAAGGATCACTGACCAGGTGAGCACCCTGAAAAAAAAAAAAAAATAACGAACAAACAAAAGACAAGAAGCCAGATGCCAGTGGCTCTCACCTGTAATCCTAGCTACTCAGATAGCTGAGATTGGAGGATCTCGGTTTGAAGCCAACCTAGGCAGGAAAATCTATGAGACTCTCATTTCCAATAAACTAAGCAAAAGCAGGAAGTTGTGCTGTGGCTCAAGTGATAGAGCATTAAGTGATAGAGCACTAAGAATCATTAAGTGATTGAGCACAAAGAAGCTCAGGGACAGCGCTCAGGCCTTGAGTTCAAGCCCCAGGACCAGCAAAAACAAAAACAAATCATGAGACCTTACTTGAAAAGCAACTGAATAAGAAAGAGCTGGAGGGGCTGGGAAGTTGGCTCAGTGGTAGAGCGCTTACCTTGCATGCCTGAGGCCCAGGGTTCGATTCCTCAGCACCACATAAAGAAAAAACCCGGAAGTGGCGCTGTGGCTCAAGTGGTAGAGCACTAGCCTTGAGCTGAAGAGCTGAGGGACAG